TCGTGGTCGTCGTAGTAGTAGTAGTAGTAGTAGTAGTCGTCGTCGTCGTCGTCGTAGTAGTGGTAGTAGTAATTAGTAGTAGTAGTAGTAGTAGTAGTAGTAGCAGTAGCAGTAGCAGTAGCAGTAGCAGTAGCAGTAGTAACTAATCGTATCAATAATAACAACCGTAGTAGGAAATGCGTAAGAATAGTAGTAGCAGTGGTAGCAGTTGCAAGCGGTGGTTTTAGAAGCAACAGTGGTAGCGGCGCTAGTAGTAGTAGTCGCAGTAGTAGTAGTAGTAGTAGTAGTAGTAGTAGTAGTAGTAGTAGGAGTAGTAGTAGCAGCAATACCGTTAACGGAAAGTCTTGTAAGCAAGGTGGCCATGGCTTCGCGAAGTCACTCTGTTGAACCCAACGTTGTCGTTTTTTGTTATCGTTCAGTTATCGTTCGACCAACATCCACATCACCACAGCAGCTTTTCACCAGTTGCACGGACCTACATGACTGAGGATTGTGCCCGGCATGATGCTGGCTCCTTCTCTCGCCTGCCTACCCAGGTAGAGTACAGTCCCCAGCCCATATCCCAAAGTCATCGCTTTGTGTTCTTCATGACTTCAAGCTTTAAGGGTCAAAAGCACTGTCCCAAACACTGCGGGCAACTGCCCGTCTTAAATCTCACACGGCACTAGAAAGTCGTGATGCGTCTTCGAGTTCCCCACACGCTTGTTGACCTGCTGACCTGGGAATCGGCACAGCATCCAGTTTAGCACAAGTGTCAGGACCGCATCCTTGGTTGACCTGTCGGAAACTTGGAAAACTCCAAAAGCGCGGTACACTTTAGGATCGCCTTCAGCGGTTGGCGTCCAAAACTCGACAGAACTTAACAGGCTCGCCCAGCACAAGATCAGAGTGCCCCGAGAATGAGGCGAGCATGGCTCACATGTGCACCAAGTCAGAAGTGAAACGTGAAAGCCAGAAAACAGCTGCAAAAACGAATTCTTCGAGGCCGCAGCCGTTGAATTTCTCCACGGCTTCCCCCACGTGCGCGGATGAGTCGAAGTCAATGTATGCGTAGCCTCTTCAGGCGATGATTGAGCTCCGTGTTTGGCTCCCATGGTTGCGGCCTACGGGTTGCAGCCGGTTAGCAAGCTAATCCAAACATGATCCCTGTGCGCAGCCTTTGGACCTCTTCAAGAAGTCGCGCACCAGCCGCACGTCTTTAAGCCTGCCATGTCTACAAAGCGGAGCAATGCGAAGCTCTCAGTCTTGAATTGCTTGAAGCAGGAGCCAGGTTCAATGAAACAACATGGCACATCCTCGAAATACAGCCCTTTGCTTAGAATCGAAGTGCCCTGTTCAACATGCCGGCGGGGCCCGTCCACCTTGACAAGACAAGAGCTGGAGTTTAACATTAACAGCAGGATCGGGCATCCCAAAGTCGACCGACACCCACGCACACACAGACACAGACACAGAGAAACACGCGTACACACGGTAGACCAATGGCGATCATGTGCTTTGTCTTCTGCCCTCGCGTGAACACTGGGCAGCTCAGGCAACCCTGCAGGCTTGTGCCGTGTACAGGCCGGCAAAGCTTCCGGGTCCATGTCAGACCGCCTCTAGCACCCTTGTGCCAGATGCGGCCACCAAAAGAGTTCGCTTTGCAATCCGAAGGCGAAGCCATCACACTCGAGCAACAAGAGAGCAGGAGTAGAGTGAGTAGAGCTGGCGGTGCTCCTGTGAAGGCCACTGTCCTTCTGGGCTCCACGGTTGACATGGAGAACTTTGCTGGAAAGTCTGCGTGTCGGAACTGCCTGTCCAATGACATCAAGCGGGAATCCGTGACGTCTCCTGCTCGGAGAGCGACACACTAAGAAAGCGAAGCATCGGCGTGCAGTTATTGTTCTTGCCCACTGCTATTTCGAATTGTGAGCCTCCCAAAACCACTCTGCAGCGCACATCGATGCAACTGTAGTGCCGTGTCATCAGAAGCACCTAAGGTGCTTCCGAAGCTTGCAAAGCCTTGCCATGCCTGCTTCGTCCCATTCGGGGTCGCTGGCAGTGCCATCTGATTTCAACAGCAGCCTCCTACTGGGTAATGCTTGATCGCACGCGCAGCACCCGTATGGTGTACCCCAGTTCCCATGAAAGTAAAGCTGGGGAGAACGAGCAGCCAAGGCAGGACGAATTCTGTTAAAGCCATGCACGCAACGGCTAAACGCACTTCTTGTGAGCGATGCCTTGATCGAGAGGCGCAATCCAACAAAAGCGTGCAGATTACAATGCGACCGCGACCTGGCGCATTCTGAGCCGCAAAGACCTCGTAAATGTCATCTCCCTGAATCTGCACACCTTTTAACGCCTGCTCGACCCACATGGGTGCTAGCCGCATTCATGGAGCACAGAACTCTTGATTCGTGATGCTTGCAAAACTCTGTGTTCATTCATGATGCTATCCCTCAAGCTACAGCACGTGGTTCTGCAGCTATGGGCTGCGGATCCATCCATGTGGTATTTCAAAGCAGAGAGAAACAAGGTATTGTTCGCTGACTGCAGATAACCCAACTGGCAAGACGTGCAAAAAAAAGCTTTGCACGTCGGCGAGCGGTTGCTGTTCGGGATTTAGAGCCGTAGCATTGCTTGGGCTGGGGATGGTTGGGAGATCGTCTGTCCTCGGCGAAACACGATGGCACAAGATCGTGCAGGACATCACTCATCCTCATCACTTTGCAACGAAACGTCGATGTCCGTCGGGTTGCCATGCGATTCCTTGCGTCTGGTCTCTTCGTGGCTATCTGGTTGGAAGCTGTGCAATGCTATTGCAAGTGATTGACTGGGAGAACCAATGCTGTCCCCTTGTGTGTAATATGAATGTATGTAAGTAACATAATATGAGTGGCGTTATGACAAGTGATGCAATGCACTGCAAGGCCAACATCCTGTGCTGTCATGTGATGTCACATAACGTCATATAATGCCGTGTTAGAGCATGTAAAGCTATGTCATGTCAAGTCATGTCAAGTCATGTCAAGGCATGTCATGTCATGTTATGTCATGTCATGTAGTGTCCGTGTCATGTGGCGTTGCTGCAATTTCATGCAATATCATGTGATGTTGTGTCTTGTCATGAAAGGTCATAAATTCTGAACGTTGTGCAATGTAGTGAAACGTCATGAAACGTGCTGTAAGACAGTAATGCATTGCATTTCCATGCCATGATAGCAAATTGAAATACTACATCATGTGGTGTGTAGTATTGTGAAACTGACTCAGAAATGCTCTCTGGGGATCAAGGTTGTTCAGCACGAGTCGGCCATAGCGCGAGGCACGCAACTCCTGCAATGCAAAGCTTCTTTCGCCAAACCACACGAACGAACTTCACAGCAGCTGCCCAGCTGCGAGCATCTTGGTCGGATTGGCTTGCTTTGTGGATCCGGCCGCAAATCCATGCATGGGTAAGACATGTTGCTGCTCCTTTGCCATGCTTTAATGGACGACTTGACTTCAAGTGTGACACTGACAGTAGCTTAAGGTGCACAAAGTCGCCCCTGAAAGTCAGCCTTCGGAACATGTGTCTGACCGCCAGATGTGCTCAGTACACTGCCCATTTGCACGCGACTTTGTCCTCCGAGTGTGCCGCCACTTCTCTGCAAAGCTCCACCTTCTGCGGCTCCGGCAAGTAGTTGACCACTAGCTGCCTAGGATAGTCTGTGCTAACCTGAAGGGCAGCTTGAGCGCCCGCACCCGACTCTCAGCCTTAAAGGAGCCATAAAGGCTAAGCCCGTGGCGCAACGGCATGGCCATAGCGGCTCCTGGATCGTCGACCCAGGCTTGAAGTCTCTTCAACATGTTACTTGCCAAGTGAATAGGCTGTATCTTGCAAGGAAACGATCAACAAAGCCCACCGAAGCCCCCCTGCCTGAACCTTTTTATGATGCCTTTGCGCGCACACACACACACAGGGGCAATTGCGTAAAACTGATCGCCGATGAATCTGACCATCAGAGGCCGTATTTGATGGAATTTGCTGGCCTGGCGATGGAGAGAATGAGGCCTGGTTCCAGGTTCAAGGCCAAAGCCAGCTGCACTCGTTCCTGCAATCGACTGGAAGCTTCCAGACCGGGAAACGAAGAAGCGAAACTAACACTGCAAATGCCAGCCGCAACTCGGACAACCAAAGCCAGTTGACAGTTCGTCCTCTTGAGATCCATTCGCCAGGGCCTTCAGAAGCACCGCCACACCATTGGAGTCCGATCCAATGAGGGCAACCTGGGCAATTCTCAATCGCGAGTCACAGGCATCACATCCCGTAAATAAAGTGCCTTCCCAACTCGCATGTTTTCCGTGCCAATGCGATGTTGGAGCTGACAAGAGTGCGGGAAACCTATCGGAGGGAGCTGTTGGGCAAGGTGTCATAAAAAGTCCGAGATTGAAATGAGGCGAGGCACACTCTTTAAAAGCCGCTGGATGATCAGCGACTGGTGGGCGCAACTGCCATGCCTGAGAAGAAAGCCCAGTCCGATGCAGCTCGAACCTCCTGCGTTGCAGTGCAGTTCAGGCACTCCAGCAGCTGCTGCAGGACATAGTTGCCGTAAGGGTGTCTGGACCTGACCCGAAAACGCTATGAGCCTGATGAAACACAGACACCATGCACGGATATTTATGATTGCTCCATGCCTCGAACCCACTCCGGCAGCACTTTGCTGCACTTGGACAGTGGCATGTGTCAAAAGGGCGGGGTTGCTCGCCAAGGTGTTGCAATCCATGGACATGCAACTTTACAGCACGAAGGCACGAAGCCAAGGCAGTGCCCCTGAACACACATCCGCAGCTCTCCAGATCCAATTCGAGGTGGTCTTCTGCAGTGTGCTATCCAAGTAACAGCGGCACAACCTCTGCCAGCATTGCCTTGGTCCACAGGTCGAGATACAAGGCAAGCGCTCCATGTCACGCCTGCGTGGCCCCTGCGTTGCACGACATCTCGAATCACAGCGGCTTGGCTAATTTCACGCCTCGATATACTCGGAGGAGCTGCAGCTGAGGGCAACTTATGGCAACTTTACGCAATTCGCTAATTATCACCCAATCCTCAGTGCAAGGAAATTTTCGATGCTCCCTTCTCTCCAGGCGGCAAGCATGCTTGCAGAATCTGGCACATGTCCTCTTAGTTGCAAGCCACCACTTGAATCTCTCACCCGTGCTCAAACCGAGCCCACATGAAGCACTACAATTGCTGGCCCTAGACGGACCACCAATAATCCCCTCAGAGTCAATGCCATGCATAGCTCAATGTCAAGCTGCCTCGGCCAGTGGTGCCGTCTGCACATGGTTGCAATGCTCCAGGAGGCGTTGCAGAGTCCGGCAGCCGTACTTATGCCTCTTCGGGCTCGGTTTCGTTGGCTGAGGGTCACGGGTCCGCCACAAGAACAAGAACAAAAGCCCTGAACAGGAATCTTGAAACTGTTTGAAACTGACTAGACTCCAGTTGCCGCAAAAGCCTTGAATGGACACCCACGAATCCCGCGAACCCCAAGCCCGGCTCTGAATCCAAACACCTCCTGCTCTTACTTGTCTGCCTGGCCTCGCCAGATAGCAGATGCTTTTGGGGCCGGGCCGCAATATCTCATCAATGATGAACCTCAGATCAGCCACGACCGGCCAGGCCGGGAATACCGCTTCTTTCGGGCATTCGAGCGAAAGGCTATTCGAGCACAGCTTGGGCATGCGTAGACGGCGTAGATGTCATGCTTTTCCCAACGCAAGGCTGAGCCGTACTGCTCGTGCTGCAGTCCATTGTCGCACTGGTGGTGGTTTGTTGCAGCATGAGCTGCCATGTGAAACCTGTTTTGGTGATCTGGATTGCGAATCACTGAAGCAGAGATTGATGCCCACGTCGGGATTGAAAGGGTTCTGTTGCCGGAGCAACACCAACGAAAATTGTCAAGTCACTGGCAAGCTCCAGGCCGCAATGCAACAATCAGGCGTTGCACAACGAAGTTGGCATGGGGACAGCGCACTGCCTGCAAGTGGAAGGTGTTGCGATCACGACCAGGCAAGGACTTTTGAAGTTTGTGCCATACGGGCTCTCGACTGCAGCGTGTGTCTCTGGGGGGGTACTCTCGAAGCGGCACATGCACAGTCTTTGCACAACTTAGCCAGCTGCGCATCCCTTGCATCTCTTGCCCTCTCCCCTAATTAGTACAGACCGGTCAATATCATCCACCGCAAAACAAGAGTCAGCAAGAGTGCAGACGAAGAAGTGGGTGTCATTTGCTCAGATTTCTGACATTATCCTGCCGGCTTTGGGCTACATCTACATGGCAGCACATGGCTTCAAGCCACGGCCCCACTTCGCAACGCGCACGATTGGCACGTGAGCTCGCTTGTAAGAACTTGGAAGCAGAATCAGCCGAGGCGTGGGTTTGGCCAGTGGCTTTTTCGCTATCCGTTGGATGATCCCAGTGTGCCCCGAACACACCTCCCGAACACCCGTCATATCCTGGTGTTTGTCGCCTCAAGAATGAAGATGGGTCATCTGCACACCAAGCTGGTCGATGAGAAAGGCAAAATGTTGGGCCTGCTCCCGCATTGACTTGCCTTTGTCTGAAGCACCGCCGTGCCCGGCATGGAAGTCTACCTTCAGAAGCACCGGGTTTGCATCTGTTTTCAGCCGGCGCAGCTTGCTCACGAATTTAAGTGGCTCCCAGTAGCCCACCATCGTGTCGTTCTGTGAAGCAGTCACTAACGCTGCCGGGTAGTCCTGCATTCGAACGTTGTCGTACGGGCTGTACTCCAACATATAGTAGAAAACATCACGCTGGTTTGGGTTACCTAGTTCCTCCCACTCGCCGCAGGTCAAGGGAATTGATGGGTCGCTCATGGTGTTGACTGCATCGACAAAGGGAACGTACAGCAGAACTGCCTTAAACAGATCTGGGCGGAGATTCATCGACGCGGACACCAGCAAGCCACCACTACTCTCTCCCCAAGCGGCAAGAGTGGACTTTTCTGAAATGCCAAGGGCCACGAGGGTATCCGCCACGTCGATGAAGTCGTGAAAACGGTTCTTGACCTTCATATATCGGCCATCTTCACGCCATCTGCGGCCCAGCTCGCCGCCTCCTCTCACGTGCGCAACAGCATAGAGAATGCCACGGTCCAAAAGGCAAAGGATGTTTGAGTCAAACCCCGGGTCTTGGCATGCCCCATATGCACCATACCCAGTAAGAATTGTCGGAAAAGGCCCTCCCTGCAGCCCTTTTGGGTGTAGGTCTGCCCGGTAAACCAGGGAGATGGGCACTTTTGCGGCACCCTGTGATGTGATCCTCTCTGCCCGGTACAAGCTTGGATTGTAGTGCTCCGGGCCTGACTCCTTAATGAGTTTAAACTCGCGAGTCGATACCTGGTACGTGTAATCACGTCCGGGCACAATGTACGAAGTGTAATGCACCCGCAACGTGTCCGTCTTGAAGAGATCATTGCCGCCCAAACTGACCGAGTACAGCGTCTGTGCAGCTTTCTGCGTCCGTGGGGTGCTGACATATCCGCCTGAAAGCACCATGCGCATGGGTTAAGTGGGAGCAGCAAGTCAAAAAAAAACAGACACACAACAGCCCAAGGCCCAAGGAGGTCCCAGGGGCAGTTTGCAGCCATCTCTGGGAAAACCAGCGAGTGAACTGGACCTTTGGGGCTGCCATCCTGGACCCAGGGGCTTCTTACCTGTAGCCTTTAGCTTTCCTAGAAATTAAAAGGATGCCAGGCCGGGGTCTAAGCCGAGACTCGGGTAGTAGCATTACAAACACGCAGCTCGCACTGCTCTGGCGGCCCTCTAGCGCCAAGAAGTCTTGGAAGCATTGCACCGAATCCAGCTGCACATGCGCGTCCGGGACCCACAAGTCTTGCCAGCTGCTGCTCGGTCCTGGAATAGACGACAGCTGGGTACAACATAGCTTTGAATTCTTGGCATCGTCCTTGTCTGTCAAGATGTACAGCATGCCTGACCGGTGGTCCACCTCGTACTGGATGCCGAACTGCCGAGGGCACACGGAGACCAAGCGGGCATTGGCATCGTGCAGGTCCAACAAGTACGTTTCGGCTGTTTCGCTTGATGCCGACTGTATGACCAGAAACCGGTCGTCGCTAGTTTTGCACAGGCTAAGGGAAAAACGTCGATCCAGCTCTTCCCAAATCGTGGTGTCGGAGGACTGGGAAGTTCCCAAGACATGACGCCGCACAACATAACCTCTGTACTCGTGGTCGTGGCCAATATAGTACACAGCCGCATGGCCGCTCGCCTCCCATACGATCGATCCGTCCGTCTCTGTCAACTCAGCCTCGTCGTTACTCAGCTGGCTTTCCTCCATGCCCGCCTCAGCGGCCGCAGCAGCAGCACGAAACCGGATGCCGTAGCTGTCGTTTCCTTCGAAGTCTTCCGCATATGCTATGAACTCGTGATCCGCGCTGGGCTCTGGGCCACAAACAGAGAGGTATGGGCGCGAGCCACCCTCCCCATCGTCATTGAGATCGTTTTCGTCCAACAGGAGTTCCTCATCGAACAACTGCAGCCCAATAGCTGTTGCCAGGGTGGCAACATCCGACGGGACAGGGGTTCCGGGACCCTGTAATCGTGCACGGAAGTGGGCCCCATAGAGCTGGTTCCTGAAGCCTCTGGTGTAGTAAACGTAGCCACCTGGATAGACAGATGGGATTCCAACGGAGGACTCCTTCTCGTGGCGGCGCATCTCTCGGTACAACTCGTCACTCATTGGTTTCAGCGTGGACAATGCCCTTTGACAGTAAGTGTCCTCATCTTGTAGGAGCTGCTGCACTTCCATGTTTTCATGGCTGTCGTCACGAAGCCATTTGTAGGGATCTGTACGGACAATTGGCGGGTCCATGGCATTCAGGCCACGCTCTTCTCCAGGCACGAGGCCGCAAAGCACCTGCTGTGGCCGAAGTGGCGGCATTGGCGGCTGCAAACCTTCAAGAGCCAAGCGCTTTGCGTCTGCCATCTCCTGGTCTCCTCTGGATCGACATCTCTTCAAGAGCCCAGAGGATGTATCACTCACCGACCCACCTAGCAGGAAACCGAAGTCGACCGGCCCAGACTTAGCTGACAGGCTGGTACCTGCTTTGAACTGGACAATTCCACCAGCTTGAGAATCGTCAAACCCAGTTTCAGGCGGCCCTCGGTATGATTCCTCTGCCACAAGCATATGGTCATCCTCCTCGTCATCGTCATCGCCGTCATCCTCGAAGCCATCAGGCTCACGGAATGTTGCCATGAGCCGGCTACGCGACTTGTCGTCGCTGCGTGCTTCAATTATAAGTTATAAAATTCTACTGTCTGGTAACCTAGGCTTCGTTTGGCCAATGCCACCTGGAGCGTGCACAACAGACTGTTGGCGAACCTCTGCAGAAGCTGTTAAAGAACGCACCCCTCGATGGCACGTGTAATGTTTGAGAAGCAATTCAAGACGTGAATGTCCAACTGCTGTGCTGACCCCCTCCCCCGTTGATCACCGCAATACTCTGGTCATAACAGTAGCGCCTCCCAGATGTGCCCATGGAGTTCTTTCGCGATGGCCTGACAGTGTCTGGCCATGCAAACACTGGAAAGCAGGTGTAAGCTGTGTCGGAAACTGTGCAACTGCCATTATGTAGTACCCGTATCAGAAGGACCATGCCTCACGCTCTGCATCGATGCTGCATAGTTCTATGGCTTCCTCCGGTCTATGAAGGCATGTAGGCTGGGCTACACAGGTGGCAGGCTCATGCAGGCTCGTCGGATTGCATGCCGAGGACTCCCTCTCCACATCGGCATCACAATGCTCACTCACCGCCGTTTACAATCCGACATAAGTCCTGAACAGCTCGGCTTCCTCGTTGGCGCAGAGAAAGCTGCCACACATGACCTTCCGTGAAGCACAGTGATTAAGCGTGTATTCTCTCGCTGAGAAGTAGGACTAGGTTCCTGAGTGACCCCTTTATAATAAGGGTACCCTTTCCCTGCTATTCAGTTTTAATAAGGGAACCATACAATAAAAAGGGCAAAAGGGTACTACTCAGGAACCTAGAGGAGGCGCGGGTGCTCAACTTCATGACACATGACCCCTAAACCGCCACCAAGCCCACAGATGCAACCGAGCTGTTCACACCAGGCTGCCTGTGACCTGCGTGCCGACGAAGTCCGAGAGCGTAGCAGACGCCTGAGTCGACCCACTTTAAAAACGAAAGCAGCGGATGAACCAACCACTGCGACAACACTCTAAGAGGCGGGAACAATGATCGCCAGATCCCATGGGCTGCGTCGACACCCTGTATCCCGACGACTCAAACCCATGAATCAGTTTGATAAGGAGCTTCGGTGGTCTCTGTCTCTGTGACCGATCGAGGCAAGTAGGCAGCCCAAGATGAAAACCTTGTCGTGCATCGCACAGAGGCATTCCCGCATATCCCAGTCCCAAGGCTGGAATCAAGCTCAGTCTAAACCTCCGCAGGCCTTTTATCAGCCTTATCGCAGGTCCTGGACATTCCTGGACTAGACAATGACTATCGTAGCAGGCTCCAAGATTGCCTCAGCAAAGTACTCTAAACTGGAAGCTTGCGCACCTCACGTCTTTGGACATCTGGTGAATCTAGTGGGCCTTCGAGAGGCTTAGCAGGGAAATCCACACCCGTTTCAAACCAGAGCAGCTCGTCGGAAAGAATCTTCAATCGCAGACTCAGCCCTTTTGCGGGCAGAGGCATAATCTTCGCCATGGCCGATGCAAGCTGAGCGCATGCAAGCTGTGTCTCCTGGGGGCCTGCAAGCAAACACGAATGCTGCTACGGCTACTTCCAAGTTCCGTGCCCCGAAGCAAAAGCTGTGGGCGATTACGCTCGCAGCTGGCTAAGGAGTTGGAGTTCGCGTAGGCTGCAATGGTTGTGTGCTGGCTACGGTTTGGGACACGCCTACACCGGGCTACCCTCCTCCTCCGGAAAAGGCCAAAACTGTGCTTGAGCAAGAAACGGTACAGTAGCAGTCGCGGCTCACTGGTGTCAATACTGACCGAGTATCAGAAAACAACGGGCACATAAACAGTACAGAGACTACAACTGCGACAGGGAAAGCCTACCGTTCACAGGCTGGGGCGCTTCACCGTGAAGCAGATGGCACATCGCGACTACAGCATGTGTCTCTAGACTCTAGACACATCGTCGCTCATAGTGATGCCCGTTGAATATTAAAACAAGAAAGACGGACGCTTGAGTTTTGTTTGATGTGCTTGCTTTACGCTTAAGAGTAACAATGTTCGCCAATATGACACCAAGGACGTCCCGTCATCAAAGGCTGACACGCGAATATCAGCGGCAAAGAAGCACAAGCCACAGAGGCAAAGAGGATCAAAGAGGTGCCCCGCGGAACAGCGGTGCTTCCCAGCTCGGCGGATTTAACTTGCAGCTGGGCTCAGCCCCGCACATCGCTGAAGATTCGGCGAAGGTGAGCTTCGTCGACAGACCTCACGGGCAAGCGACTCGGCTGAATGCAACTGCAAGGAGGCAGGGGGCACCTCACGAAGAGCCGCAATGCACAATGGCCGGACGTGCTCTGTTGCCGGTGTGACGCATTCCAGGTAGGGAGGAGTTCAGGCTGCCTGCCCCCAAGCACCAAATCCAGGTCCCCTCAAACTCGCATTCAGTTCCCACGATGAAACAGCTCCCGAACCATCCTTGCGAATCTGCTGTCCCAGATCATCATCTGAGCGCTGAACCAGTCCAGGTTTGCAACCTGGCTCGGTGCTGAAACATGGTACCTACGGTCCTGTGTGCTCCAACTAGCTGGTGGCGGCCTTCAATCTGAAATGCAGCACTTGAGCTCGCTATACTCAATCGTTGGGGAGCCTGCCGCTATATGCATACCTTCGTCTGAGAGCGACTGCTGTCAAAGGAACCCAACACCACAGCAACAGAACGAACCTGTCCCAAACAACACCGAGGCCAGGCACATAGACAGTATGCTGGCCCTCATCCTCCAGCTTGAGGTCGGCAGCCCTGTGAGAGCAGACTGCAGTGTTTTTTTCGCCCTGAGGCTCATGAGGTCCAGGACTTAGCGGCGCGAACTTTCAGAGTTTCTGCGACGACAGCTTCGAAGAGAAGCATGAGGAAGCTGAGTCACTTCTGCAGACTACCTTTACCAAGCTCCAGGCTTTTCTGCCAAACGCAGCTGGTGGTAGTGGGAACCTTGATGCGAGAAAGCTTTGCCGACTGCGCTGGCAGACCATGCAGCACGATTTCAAACTCGGCACGGGAACGTCCAGAATCAACAAGATGCAGGAACATCTAGCACGACGAGTTTGCTGCAGGCATCGCGCTTTGGCGAACTTTGACCTGCGGAGTCTCCGTCCACGGGTTTGCCACCAGCCTCGAATTCGGCTTAACTGGTCTTGCCCTGGAGGAAATCTCTGAGCGAGGCCACCAGCGACGGTGGCCAGCGCCGAATTTCCGCAACCCATTTCAGATCCTGCACGGGACAAACTGTCGTCTGGCACAGGACACCAGCTCTCCCATTTACTATCATGGGACAGGAACGACTGAGTGCTGCGTTTCCTGCTGCCTCTCTAATGCAAGCTAGGGCGAGACACCTTGTAGGATTGGCAGCCAGTGTCAATGTTCTCGCATGCGAACTTCCACTGCGACTCGGCTTCTGCAATCTTCCGCTGCGACCAGTACGAGGCCGCCAAAGCAACATGTGCGTCTGTGACGCCGGGATCGTTCCGCACGACCTACCAATCAATCACAAGGCTCAACAACAAACATCGCTCTCTCTATCTCTTTCTTTCTTTCGCCAGGGCTGTGGCGCAAGGGGAAATCCCCCTATCTATCTCTCTCTCTCTCTCTCTTTCTCCGCTGTTCTTCCGTCTTTCCTTGTTTCGGGTTTAAGGTGGGGTTCCAATTTGCACAACATCCCTGACGTGACTTACACATACCTGCTGCGGCTCGGACCAGGGCCTAGGGCGGCTCCGGGTGATCCGGCTCCACCATTTGCAGACAGATTTCGAGACCCATATCTAAAAACCAAACAAACCCAGATATTTGTGGAATTCTTCTCACAACAAGCTTGAAGTCGCTGGAAGTGTACTTTCCGAAAATCTCCTATTGCTCGCCCAGGGGCTACTTGCATCACCTTTTCCGCCTCCGCGTCCCTGCCAGCACCGAACAGAGCGAGAGCCTGGGAATGCAAAGTCCAATGCGGATTTCGCGCAGTGGCTTTCGTACACTGCAGAAACCACCGTGTCGCTACGCTATTCACGGAGCGATGCTAAACATCGCACTCTGTAGGATATGTTCCGGCTTGACGTGGCCTCGTTGGCACGGGAGAAGGAGGCCTGTCGCACCTCCCCGTCGTTGTCGAAGATTTGCGTAGCTTCACGGTAGTCTTCCACTGCCTGTCGGCACGAGGATGTCAAGCTGAGACTCCCCACAGCCTACATTTCTTGTGAGGGGGGCTGCAGCGCACATGCCCTCATGTCCAACCTGCTGCACTTCACAGCCATGCTGCAGGCACAAATTCATGTCCATCCAGGACTTTCTGTCGAATAGGATGCATTACTGACCGAGAACAGTCTACTCCAAAAATCCCGGACACTCTTCCGGCTGAGACTTCACAAGCGACTGACTGAATCGTGCGCCCGACGCTTGTGCACCCGAAAGCTGGTGATGCGGCTACAGGGCTATGCCACTTCCACGAATGCCATATGGGTGAGGCGTGATGCGGCCTCGTCGTATCTGCCCAGCTGGCTGAGGGCATTCCCGCGGAAGTTCAGTATCAAAGGATTCATACCAAGACCATCACCCTCCTCTCAAGATCTGGAAAAGCTTGACTCTGGCAAAGGACTGACACTTGGATGTGGGCAAGCTCTCTGCCTCTACATTCGCTCCTGAATGGTTGCATCCCCCTTCATAGCCTTGTCAGGCCTTCCATCTTTGGGCCGCAAGGCATCAATCGCCTTCGTGTAGTCTTGCGCTGCGCCCCCCCAATTCTTGAGCTCCTCTTGCGCCAAGCCCCTCTTGACCAGGGCATCCGGATATTCACCTCGCTCCACCCATGTTTTCTCCGACACTCCGCACTGGTCGCGCGTTCTATCCGAGACCCGAAAGAACAAGGATTTGCTTCGGTCGTCCAAGCAACTGTACATGAGCTTGTCGGGATTCCGTCGCAAGTCATCCTCCATGATTCCGATAGCAACGTCGTAGTCCTCGACGGCTCCCTTTGCCTTCTCCGGAAGGCTGCCGCCGACCATATCGTTCAGTGCTATCCGGGCCCGCGCCCGACCAAGTCTCAGCCTCGCCTTTTCTTCCACTATGGCCGGAGCTGTGATTGCTCCGCTCTCCCACTTACTGATCGCCTGGAACACTCGTGCACACAAGTCTTCATGTGCATCTAGCCGACGAACAGGCACTGTTGCAACAGCAGTATTCTTGCCCAGCGGCATTCCCAAGTGTCGCCTCTGCCTCTTCATAAACTGAAGAAGCACCTGGTGCTCGAGGGTCAGTCGCCAGCTTGGCAAAAGCACCGGCAATCTCGTAAAGCTCATCTTTCGTTGCCTGCACTTGACTTCACGATAAAACCGGTCGGATCTTGGCACAACCTTACATTGAGTACATTAAATCACTAAGACCTCTGAAAAGCGCAACTCCGAGCTGCTTTGCGCGGAGCAGCAGCCACTGCGGCAGAGATCAGGATCCGCCGTGGCAGCTGACGTGACAATGCAACACCAGGCCAGTGTAATCACTGTATATTCAGGAACAACCCCAACATCGCCGACAGAAAGGCATCCCTATCCGACCTGGAAACATGAAGCAAAACCACAACAACGCGTGGAAGCTATTGGGAAACCTCAGAATCGGTGGGACTGCCGGGCAGACTGTGCAGGTGACAACAGCATCCATCACGTCCGTGGCCTCGGCTACCGTAAAGGTCGTTGGCCATAAGGCCCACAGTGAAAGCAGCGGAAGAAGCAGGCGCGCTCCTGCTGCTCTGCATCCAGGCGTGGCTTTGACAGCCATCCTAACCACGAAGGCCTAAGCAGCTAGACTGCATGTACTTGACTCGGGGGGTGTTCGTATTGTTCTTCAGCTCAGTACACATGCCTGCAAGCCAGGAAAGCACAAGTCTGAGCGGTGTGCAAGCACACGAAGCGCGTCTCCAATCATCTCTGCTTCCTATAAAAGCCTCTTGTCAAATCTACATCTGCCGACTAGCCGACGTGCTGACGTCCCCAGCTACGGGTGCAAGTGAAAGGTGCTCAGAGCTCCGCCCTTGTGAGGCTCAGCCTTCACTTCCTCCTTGGCATAAATCGCAAGCAGATTTCTTCGATGCTTCATCCGCGCGAAAATCCGGACACAAACGTTCACCCTCGATCTCACTGTGGCTTGCTTGCGGCACGCCCACCAACCCACGGGCTCCCACCGTCTCACTCCCTCACACACTTCTCTGGATGGCTGGTCAACACTACAATAATGGCTACATCCGTGTCCGGGGATGGCACACGAGCACACACTCACAGGCACGTGCGCCCTTTCTTTGGGGTGCTCACTCTCAGTCTCACTTTTGCTTTGCTTTACTTGGCCAGGCAGGGGATAATCTCCTTCTTGCTGTAGGACATGAGGGGTCTGTACCTGCACGGGGCGCGCCGTTGTTCGGAGAATTTGGGGTGGTCGGCGGAACTTCGATGAATGCGAACCCCACGAAAAACAACTAAGACTGCTTCACTCTCTCGCTGTGCTTCGCTCGTTCCGTTGGGTCAAAGGGGGGAACCGCCTGTTTTTCTGTGCACCCAGCTCTGCATAACCCCCACACATTGAAGCTTCCCAGTGCTAAAGGCCTCGACGGGCCTGATAGGCTGCTACCAGCCGGGTTCTCCCCGATGGCTGCTAAGAAACCGAACTCTCGATCCTGTACTTGCGACTTCGCCCCGCATTCAAGTCGGAACTAAATTCCTCCGTATCTTCACCGGCTCCGAAAGAACCATGCCAGTGCAACCCATGCATGCTAGTATCATGCTAGTTCACCCGGAATGGAGCACGCAGTGCCGCCGCATTTCGTCACTGTTGGCACTGATTGCTCGCATGCAGCCGCTGCCCAACACCAAGATTCCACCTGCAAACACCTGCACTTTACTCTGTTGGCTAGGGCCGTGCTCGCATACATGGCGCATTGGCGCCGTCTCGGTGCACTTTAAATCTAGTGGCTCTAGTTTCGCAACTCCGACTGGGACCACATCGCACAGGCACTGAACTGAGGGAATCTGCAATGTGCGGCTCCCCTCTCTGTGGCTCTTTCGCAGAACGGAAAATAAGTGGAGCATGAGGTAGAAAATGGCGTTTCGAGTCAAGGCCTTCTTTGAGGCATTTTGAGGGCTGACGGAACACTCTTGCTCACGACAAACGGGCACCTGCCCAGGGACCTCCGCCTTCAACCTGGACCGTTACAGCCCAGCACAAACCTACACCGGACTTCGGAGAGCTCGCACTGCCCTGGCGACACGACACGCCCCAATCACATGCCTCTCGCAGTCTCTCTCTTTCTCTGCCAGGTGGGAGGCTCAGGGAGCGTCCAGCACTGAATCTCGCGTGCGATCGCGCACCTGCGGTCCTCGGGTGTCTTGCATTCTCTTTTCTTTCGCCAGGGCTAGGGGCAAGAGGGGCAAGCCCCCCTCGCCCGCGCGCGTCAGTGCCCGGGCTTGCACCTTGCACTCTCTCTCTCTCTCTCTCTCTGTGTATCTCTCTCGCCCTTCTTTGCTCCTTGTGGCTCTCGTCGCCAGCTTCCGAGACACTCTCCTTGCCGGCGCACAGCAAAAGATGGATTTGCGACGATCACGCTCTGGTCCGTGTAAACTGTATCTTGAAGTCAGAACTTCTCCACGTGGCTCGACGGTTGGCTCCATATACCGGCGAGAAAGACATCAAACATGGTTGGGCTTAGGGCTCAGGGCTTGGCCTTCGCATCAGCAGACTTTTCGGCTAGGTCAGCATCACCTGGCAGAGCAAGATCTTTCCCGCCGCAGTGCAAGTGCAGGCATAGTTGTCTCTAGCCAGCACCGGCTTCCTGCTTGATCGGAGATATATAACTGAATCGCTAAGCTGCGCACAGCCTTCAGCACTGGAATTAGCAGCGGCGGTGGGAGCCTGCATCAACGGCATGCTAGGCTTCACGCTTTTGCATACGACTCAAGATGTACCATGCTACTGAACGTCTGGCGAAATCAAACATATGGCCAGCAAAACCTGGTCAGCGCTTCCGCTGGACCGTCCAGGGACGATAGGCATCAGAGATCACCACAACCCTTTGTCAGACAACTGTGGGCAGGGCTTGGCGCAAGTGCAGCTTCCACAGCCACGTATCAGGACCAAGGCTTGACCAATAAAACGGGCGAGCTTTGTCAAATTGTATCTACTAGACTCTAGACGCGGGGAAGTGGTGCTGCATCCCAGCTGCTAGCCAGTTTCTGGTCACTTAGTGCCGCTCAGTCATGTGGCTTTAGGACCGTCTTTTTTTACGTCATCTGCATGGGGTTGTTTCGGCTGCCAGCTGCTCGGGGATGGTCTCCACATGCAACCAACACTCGGCACCCTTCAAAGAATTTTCGGGCCCAGCTGCGGCCAGCAACTCCCAGACACACCCAGCAACGTCAGAGTTCCAGGGTAATTTTTGGCATGTGCTCGCGTCTTATGTTGCCTCAAGATTCCCAGCAAGCCTCACCATCGACAGCGACATCAGCTTCCTCGACACCCGTCGTTGGGACAATGGTGGACGCAACTTTACTAGAAGAACCTGTGTGCCGAATGTCAACATCAAAATCGGCGTCTAAGCCAGCACTCCGGACTTAGATCCTGACCTGCGCGTCTTTTGCCGGTGCCTTCGCTTCCTGCACTCGCATAGAACAGCCGCACGAGAGCGTCTGAAGCTATGTCTGTTTAACTTGCGACAGCTAGCACCCACTCCACAGCAAACGGCACCTGCTCTATCTTTTGCCGCTTTTCCGCTTGCCTCGGTCGCCATGAGCATGGCCCTTATAGACCCTGCTTCCAACAAAGCAGAGTCCAACCAGCCTGCTGCTGCTCAAGAAGTCACAGTCTTGGAAACTGAGAAGGCTACCGGAAAGCTTTTGCTTCCTTTGGTCTTTTTCTGGAGGCCTTGCCGAAGCATCGGGAAAGAGAACCTATTCTTCCTCACTCATCTCTTTCAAACCGCCCCACAACTTGACTTCTGAAACGACCCTCCCTTAATGCCTTAAAGGCAAGGCAGGATGCCAGTCAGATAGCTTTTTGCAGCTGGTGTAGTGTGGGGAGCCCCTGCGAGAAGTCTGTACTGACCACCTCTCCCTGCCAGAGTTGCCTTGGAATTCAGGACTGTTCTGCTGGGAGTTTCGACCTGCTCCCGCTGCGACCGACAAGTCGCCTTTGCTAAGAGAGAAGAGTCAGGGAGCTCTCTAGTTTAACAACGACGGCATTTTCATCTGCCAGTACTGACAGGTACTCTGGCACAGATTTATTCCAGTCTTCCGGCCTTTTCTGTGGGGTGTGAAGTCGCATCATCGATTTGATTGTTACAGTCCTTGTTGTTGTTGTGCTTCTTGCGTGGCCGCACCTGCACATCGTGTTTGGCTGTTCTGCTCACATATGCTGGCAGTTGATTGCGGGGTTTGGAAAAACAACTTAGTAAGAAGGCAAGACCTGCTGCATGTCACATCAGGAACTGGGGTTGAGAAGTTCGCCAGGAATATGCAAAACAATCGCAAGAGAGCGGCCAGAGCCTCTTCCGGCTCGTCTTCTTCACAGCCGGCCATGGGCGATGCCTGAACTCCGGGAATTCGGGAAGCGACACTCGTGCATTCTCACACAAACACAAACACACCTGCTGCGCCATGGCGCGAGGAAGCAGAAGGCACGCAAGGTGCTGCAGGACTTGAGCCACAGAAGCACAAGGCAATCGGGACGAGTTCCGCGCTATCTGAAACATGGTTGGCCGCGAATGATGTGGCGACATCTCTACTGTTAGGAGCTTGCACGCTCGAAGTGGTGCCGTGCCGTCAGTGCTCAACACTTCCCGGAGGACCTGTCCTGGCCCGGCCTCTGGTCGTAACGTCGAAGTGAAGCGATCCATCCTCGCAAATCCGCGGCGAAGCTGCCACCAGCTCGACTGGCACGAACGTCACTTCCGCGACCATGACGAGGGTCGTCTGGCCGTCGTTTCTTCACACTTCTTCTCGAACGACAACGTCAGTTCATGTCAGTTATCTGCCTAGCTTCTGCACCCGGGGTGTGTCTGCCCCCGGACTGTTGTCAGGTGGCTCCATTCTGTTCAGGTGATGGCTTTGAAAACAAGTTCTGTAACGCCTCACGTGCTCCAACCAGCAATGAAAGTGGTCTGCTCTGTCGGCCGACAGCAAGCCTCGGATAAAGCTAATTGCAAGAATGACCTCCAAAGATGTTCGAACCGGTCAACCAGCTTGAAAGTCGTGTTTTCAGTCGCGCATTTTTGCGCGGCAAGCTTCGGCGCAAACGGTCTCAGTAACGCGCGGTTGCCCATGCTGCACACATGACTTGCCGATGGCCGCCTTGCTCACTACTCCTTGTAGATGAACCTGCGAATCTCACATCGGTTGCTCCGCCCCTGCAACCTTCCCCCGACTGCATCTGTCACACGCCGGCACTGGGCAAGCACTGCACTCTGTCGCAGCGGCATCTGAAGCTTCGATGAATTGGCCATCGTCAGCACTGAGTGGAAGGTGGCTCACATGCAGCCGAGCATCGAGGTATGTTTGGAGTTCTCCCACTCGACAGGTGGCTTGTCCCCGCTGCCTGCAGAGAGCACATGCGCAAGTCTGAATTTCAAGCGGTTACATGGCGAAGCTTGCAACGACAAAACCATACAGGACCATACACAACAAGTACTGCACGCTGTCTGTTGCCCATCTTGCGAAAACAGACTCAGAACGGATCTCCTTCATAAGCCGCACGTGCCGATCTGATGCTCTGGGGTGCAGCGGCATGCTGGGGATGATGCCACCATACTCTGTGATGAACTCCTCCAGGGAGTAGGCCTGGATTGCCGTTCAAGGAAGCACCGGCACTTGGTTCCTCTCGCGTTCCTGCGTTTACAGTCTGGCAGTTTCCAGCTCTCCTGTCAGCTCTCCCATCCCTTTGGTAGTGAACCCTCGACTCTAGATCGAGCGAGGCCTGGCCATCTGCTGGGTCAATACGCCTTTCGATGCCCTTGGCCAAGATCCTCGCCTTCCGCAAATCTGGATCTTCGAACAGACAGGGGCGAGTCAAGCCTGCTGGCCCCTTGAATACACTCTGTACTGTCAAGCCACGAACCTCGGAGCAGCACTCGTACAAGCACGAGCATTTCACTGCAGCACGCCTTCTTCACCTCGGTTTCATCATCGCTGAAACCGAATTCTTCCTCCTCTTCCACTTGCTTTCGCACTTCGCCCCTCTTCCTTTTCTTGTCCTTGCAGAGGCAAGCAACTTCTCACCTTGCCTTTAACCTTGCATCATCCCTGCATGCCGTCCTTCATCTCCACGTGGACCTCCGGAGGTGGCGGCAACGGCGGCGCAGCATCCTCATCGTCGTCAGAGTCCAGGACCTTGCTGCGACCCGCATCATGCCCGCATCCTGCTCTCTTTGTGCAGCACTGCCCTCGCCCTCGCTATCGTGAAGAGACTTCCACGTCACTTCCCTGAGAACCCTGCACTGATTGGGGCATACTTTCGGAACAGCTCGAAGTTGTCAGACTGCAGCCTGTTCTGCGCATCAGCAAGGTTGAATTTGTGCTTCCTGCCACTCCCTGCTGCTGCAATGGGGGCTGACAACCCCAGCTGAAGCACAGCAGTCTGACAATTTGTGTGACATCTTCGGCTGCATGCACACGGAGATGTAGACGTCTCCCCCACTCTCAACGGCACCTGTTGCAGCACCTGGAGACTCGTGCAGAAGCTCTGCAGCGAAGCGGCTGCTTCTGCTGCTTCGGGCTGAAAAGGTGGATGTGGCCACGGATGAGATTGAGGCAATCGGTGGCAATGCTGCCCTGCCAGAGCAGCCAATATTTGGACTACCGCCCCAACCACCTGGACATAAAATTCTGCGCTGGCCTTGAGGCCTTCTAGAAATCTCCTGTGAGCCACGACGTTGTACCTCAGCACTTCTTGCAAGAAGGCCCAAGCAACACGTGCTCAGGAAAGCGGAACGAATGCGTTCGACCACAACAGGAACGGATTTCTCGGAATGCTGTCCTAGATCTCGCCCTACCAAGGGACCGCCAAGGGAATGAGGCCGTTGTTTCCGAGCTGCAGTGGGTTTGGCTTGATCCGCCCCTCTTTCGCGGCCTGCACCAGAATCAAGCATCCTGACATTTCACATGGCCAGAACGCGGCACCAAACCCTCCTGCCTTACAGGCTTTGAAGAGCCAGCGCAGCCTGTCCATCGGCTTCTTGGGGAAGATCTCTTCCCACCTTGCTGCAGATGCTTTCTCACGAGCTCAGCTGCACAAACAGCCCAAACCCAGCCACGGCACGACATGGTAACGTACTCCTCCTGTTCTTTCACCTCCTCTTCTTTCGTCACCTGGGTCTACTGAGTCTAATCTGGTGCTGCAGCTGACACACACTGGGTCGCTTTGCTTGGCCCATGTCAAAAGCCTGCAAATCTGTTCGGGCCTCTTCCTGGCTCCTGCCTGTGAATGTAACCCCTGGGCCTGCAGGAGCCTGAAAGCAGTGGCTGCTGTGGGAAGAAATCTTCTGTTGCCACGTCGCCTTTCGCTTTCGTCTGGAAACGACCTGGCAGCGAAGACAAACCCGCACCGCTGCGCGCCGTGCGCACGCCACCAAAATCAGGAGTGAACGACTCACAAAATGAAGAATCATCCCTGTCAATCTGCTATGTGAGTAGTGATTCCATCTTGTCCCAGGAACGGTCGTGCTCTGAATCGCTTGGATCAGGCCAAGAATACTTGCAGGGTCAGCAGCAGAGGCAGTAGGAACAGCTTGCACGGAAAACGGCCTCCGCGGGAAGTGGCGCCTCTTCACGAGGCGCATCATCAGGATCGTCCTGTGTTTCGGCGCCAACGTGTGCTGACACAATCCGCTGGGACGTCGGTCACGGTTCCGAAAGCTTGGCGAAAGTCTGGAAGAATACAATTGGAAGAGAGTGCAACCAGTGACCTAGTTCTGCTCAAGTCTTACAGAACCCACGACATGCACTAGCTGGCTAAGGGTGGGCCATGCTTCAATTATCTGAAAGATCAGAATGCAAAGTTCACCTTGGACATACAGCGTGGCATGAACATCGAGAAACTGCACAACGCGTTCACATTGCTGGCCCTTCGTGCCCTTGTAGCCAGGATGATTTCAGCACGGCTTATTAGAATCCGTACCAAGACTGCTGCTTTTCTGCTGACTTCAAGCAGTTTCCTTCAACCAAAAAAATTACTGGCTTCGCTCTACTTAACAGACAAATGTGGCGAGCAAGAGTAACTTGCCTTTGGCTGCTAGCATCAAAGACACCATCATGAAGCCCTCCCCGGCTTCGCCATCCAAAGCAGGCTGTTGCTTCTACTGGCCTCGCCCCAGGCAGGTTTATCGCCGCCGGGCATGGAGGCTACCTGAGCGCGTGAGCGACGGGGGAATTCAGGCGACAGCAGGGTCTGTTAAAGCTTTTGCAGCAGCTGGGCAGTCGCTGACTTCCAAATGTTACACGCAGAACCTGCTGTCAGCCAGAGGCGCCTGCGTGGCACACCGCTTTCGCAAGGCGCCCGCACTAAAGCTGAGTTTCTGCTGCGGCCAAGCATTCGTGCGTGGCAGGAGCTACCAGAACAGGTCACATAAAGCCAAGCATCGCAGTTCCACCTGAAATGTTCACACGTGAATGTGCGTGAATATGTGACTCTGGCCCCACAGCATCAAGATCCCTTTCTACTTGGGAGTTGCGGCGAGAGAACGAAAACTCGTAAATTTCGTGTGAGCACATTTCTGCATCACCGAGAAGAAAAACGCAACTCTGTCAGGGTCATATCTTTTTGACGAGCAGCTCCATTTGGGGACAGCTGGACATGGCTTACATGGACAACCAAAGCTCCTCTGGGTAAAGGACTCTCGGCGTGCATGGAAGCTTGCCGATGCTTTCTCAAGCAGCAGCGGTCGAAAGTCGGGAGCAGTGCAATTGCTGTCCAGAGACTCGCTCTTGCCAATCTTGCCGTGACTACGACTTCACAGGGTTCTAGGGCACTCCAGAATAATATCGATTGAAAGTTGCTAATGGCACTGCGAGCATGAATGAAGGCTGTGGCGCAAGCCACTTCTGAAAGGAGATCTCTGTTCAGAGGGGTGACACTGAGTAACTCATACGCGTCTTGTTGGGATCGTCTTCTTCTCGCGCGCCGCGAGCTTCTTCTCCCTGCGCTCCTGCACACTGCCGACCATATCACATGCTTGCAATTTGAAACTTTCATTGGCAGAAGACTGCAAGGGGGAGTGATGTGGCAGATGATTGGCATCCGTGGTGATTACACTGCTTCTGCATTGACCTGCTATCATGTCAGGGATTGCCGGTGAACCTCCAACTTGTGCCTGTCCGTCTTCCCCTTCTCCTGCAAATGAGACTCTGGTCAACAGGAAGTTTGGCTCCAGACTCCCATGTCTGACGTTCTCAGAAGACCGCTAGGCAACACGGGTAAGCACGGACGCCTGTTAGACCTACTAGTAGCAAGTCACAGCTCAGTTCGGACCCAAGGGGTGAAGGTGACTCAAGGTCAAGGGAAGGCATAGCTGACACTCCCCCGCATCAGGCCCGGCGTGTACTCTGTATCCCGCACAGCCGAAGCAGTGCGAACGTCACCCTTCGACCGAAAAGCCCACGCCCACTGTAGATGCACGTCGCTCTTCGCTGACGCTTCTCGGCTCAGCGGCTATTGCGGTTCCCATCGTTTCGCCTTCGGTTCAGGTTTGGTGGACTGGCATGCACCTGTTGCATTTCACACGAAACACGGCCGGGGCTTTGAAGACTCACATCACCTGTAGCCAGATACCGACATAAGGACAAAACAGGCACAGTTTACACCCACATCAATCCAGGCGCGTATGCTGTATGAAGCCCCATGCACAAGCAGAACCAGTCCCTGTCACAGTCGCTCTGCAGCCCTTCCCAGGCTTCTCAGCAACTGGACCGTTCCCACTCGATTCAGCGGCCATGGGCCGGCATGCACCGATAGTAGGCTGTCATCGAGTCACAGCCAACTCTCTGAAAACACAACACTTGCTCCCCAAGAGCGAGTCGTTGTCCGCAGAAGGCACAGCATTGAGAGGTCATATCATTCAGCATGCTTCAGAAGCTTCGCCATGTCAGTCAGTTCCTTCAGGTCAAACTGGGCTGCTCGCTCATCCGAGTTTCCATGGCTGGCGCAACGGCGAGGGATTCGTGCTTTCCGGGGAAACCCCAAGGAACATCAAGAGGAGGACGCCTAGCAAAGAGCAGGACTGGGCAGCGACCAGGAGGACCAGCAAGAGTGTGTGAAGCAAGAACGTAAAGGTTCACAGCAAGCACTCAGCACAGTGCAGACCGTGAAAAAGGTTCGTTTTACAGGCCTTACAGAGAGCGAGCAGGCTCCACTCACTGTAAATGGTTGAGTCCGCTGTGCTTTGCCTTTGCTCTGTGTGCATGGCTATTTCAGCTTCTTGGTCGGGGTCGCCTCCTTCTTCTTTTTCTCCACCAGCAGCTGTCTCGCTGCCTTCTTCCGGTGAAAATAAGGTACCTCAAGTCAAAACTGCTATCCCGTCGCATGGGATGCCGCTTCAAGTTTAAGAGTCTAACGATGGTCTGAATCCGTGCCTTGCCAGTTTCCTTCACCTTCTTCCTCTCCTCGGCCTTCAGCACCCTCTCGGCATCCCGAAGCCGACCGATGTGTCTCCTGACGCATCGAAAGCGTTTTTGGATTGGCCGAAGCCAAAGCCCAGAGCTGGTCCCTTGCACTCTGACACTGGCCTCTGCTTGTCCTGCTGCACTCGGCGCTTAATCCTCAGTCCCAGCATGGGCTTCCAATCATCTCCCTGAGCTACCAGACCAACGAGTCATGTAGCCAAGAAGCTCTTTTGTAATCTCGTCCTCCTGCGTCGCTATCATCGAATCCTGCTCTTGATACTTGCTGGTTTGTTTCTGGCAAGTCACGTCGCCTTAAGGGATTCGGGCCTTCTGCAAACGGGAGGGGCTGGGAGTTCCGAGTCCCCGCCAAGAAACAGGATGTGTGCCACGTTCTTTGCTTGTGTCCATTTGTTCGCTTCAGAATTGCTTGGCAGTGAGATGCGCAAGGGCTCGCATGGTACAAGGCTTGTGTAATCGTTTGTGTGCGTGTGGCTCCGAACCAGCAGAGCCGCATTCTTGTGCATTGCAGGTGCGCGGTTGTGTCGGAGACAGCACTGCGGACGGGCCCTCGGTCGTGATAGAAGTTCCCAGCACTGCAGCCTGCTGAGCAGGTGTGCCGGCGCCTGTGGTGCAGGTCTGGTGCGGCCCAGAGTTGCCGTGCCTATCCTGCTGCGCAGTCCAATACCGCCCTCCAAACACGGCCACAAACTTCCGAGGCCGTCCGTGTCACCCGGCCTTTGGACGCTTCTTGCGCAGCTGTTGCAACCGCTGCTTGGCTTCCATCAGCTTTTCCAACTCTTCTGCCCGGTACCTCAGGCTGCGACACGATTGCACACTCATCAAATGGGTCGCGATGTGCAGCAATGGTCTGAGGAGACACAACAGGCTGGATGCCTGAATGTCGCACGACGGTAATACGCGGCAGTAACATGGACAATTGCAGCCAGTGCTCTCTTCCAGAAAAGAATACGCCTTCCTGAGCTGGACATAACTGGACTTGTCATGATGAAGGTCTGGAGCACCGACTAAACTTGCACCACGGCTAGGAGAGCAAAGTTCGTCTTCCAAGGCAACCTTCCATCTGTTGGGTGCTTTTGATGCCTCAAGCCTCCCACAGCTGGTTCACGGTCAAGCTTCCCAAATCCATCGGAACTGAAAGTGCCACTGGAATCCTCGAAGCCTAAGCAGGAAAAAGCAAAAGCACAGAGCTCTCTTGTCAGACCCCTCACCTTGCACGAAAATGCTTGTCCATCTGAGCCGGGACACGTGGGTCACGCGGACGCATGGACGCCAGCTTCAGGGGTATGGTCAGTTTTTGTGGGTCCACGAGTCACCAGGCCTAATTTTTCGGTGGGAGGGGGGGGAGGGGCCGAGGTTCGAGTCCACGACTGGTTGAGTTATGGGAAGCTAGCGTCGGTAGCTGCCCCATTAGAGGCGCAGCAAACGAATCTCAAAATCAACGCTCCCAAGTACTGCTTGATTCTTCGTCTCCTTGGCTCGTCTAGACTAGTAACAAGACCGCCTTCTGTCTCGCTGTCTCTCTCGGGAGCGACCCTAGCCCTGTAAGCACTGATTCAATGCCAAGGGGCACACAGTCGAGTCTTGCGGCAGTCACTATGGACTTTGCTGTGGAGCTTGCCAGTATTGCTCGGGCTTGGTTCCGGCCTTTAGCTCGTAGACCCGTTTTTGCTCCAGTCTTTCTTTTCTGCGCTTGCTAAAGGCAGGTGCCTGACCTGTTGTTCTCTCGAGTCTCTTCCCATTCCTAGAACTTTACTGTTGCTTGTGACCAGTCACATACCTCCGCAGGCAGTGTCTGCAGAAGCCGAAGGCTGAACATACAGAAGGGAAAGAGAAAGTATGAGCAGAACGGAGTGCCGTGGAGTGCCGTGGGACCAGAACCTGACCCAGCCCGGGATGTCCCAAATAGCCGCACAAGACAGAAGCAACTGCTTCACCAGCAGATGTTGCAATAAGCATCTGAATCACGAAGTGATCAGCAATCCAGAAGTACTCGTCGATTCCAGGTTCTTCTTCATATTCCACACAGAGGCCCCAAGAGCAACAGGCCTTTGCACCACTCCGTGCCGCGGCCGCACGAGGAGGTGGTGTCGCACGTTGTGACGAAACCTGGACATTGCCTACCCCCCAGCCGTCGCGGACGGTGCGACTCGGACTCGCTTTAAACCAGCTGTCTGTCAAGGATTTGTCCACCTTCTAGTCTTGCCTCGGCTTAATTTCTCCTTGCTAGACGATGTGCTCGTTGTGAAAACTGCCAACTGCTGGCCGTTCAAGATTGGGACTTGCTACTCAGCTACTCGCTTTCGCGATGGGTCTTTATCACTTGTTGCAGGCGGGCTCACCAGTGATTTATTTAAGCATCACTCTGGGAGGCACAGCTGATTGTCGTGGCACTGGCCTACAAGCGTCATCAACAGGAGCTAGAAACAGCCATATAGCAGAATCTACCCGGACTTACTAGTCCTTAAACAACCGTCGAACACTTCGAACACAAGATGCCTCCATCGGCGCTCCCTTCCTCAGGAGGCAGGCGCAGGATGGCAGCCATACTTGGAAGTAGATGGAAACTCACAGCAAACTCATCTACTCAGCTGCCCGAATCGGCATGGACTTCATTTTCGCGCGCCGCGTCGCGACGTGTGACACAACAGATAAAAGATGGCTGGATCTGATCTCCAAGGCACTCAGGAAGGATCCATGAGAATTGGTTTTTGTGTGGAATGGTAGCACTCCGAAGGGTGAACGACCTAAATTTGGAGTTGGACTGGGATTGGATCGCATGTGCTGGTGTGTCGCACCCTTCCAGTGCTAACCTGCGACGGCAGGTAGAGCTTGCCCGATGCAAGAGCACGAGCAGTACCGTCAGACATCCCCTCACCCAGCCGTACACGGGCGCATGTTTCACAATCACTACGCTCGGAAGAGCATCTGGTAAATCAGGAGGATCTCTAACCTGCGGTCTGTGCTGCATTCAGCACGAGGACAAACGAAATCCTAGGTGTGCGAAGAGGAAGGCAGAAAATTGTACCTCTGCAGACTTTCCATGTGCCAAAAGATGCAGGAAGAAAGACTCCTTGAGGCACATGAAAGGGCTAGCAACTAGCACCACTGCAGAAGAGGCTGCGTGCTGATGTTTGGCTCCTGGCCCACATTCAGATGATCTGCTAAATCTGCTCATGGGCACAATGCCTATCCTAGCAGCCGGAAGCCGCACTACCCCAGCACGGCCTGCAAATTCTTGATAGTCATTCAGCTACAGGCACAGTGATGGCTCCCCAACTCCCCGCCGGTCGCTCCATGTTCAGGGAAAGCCTAGCTCTCTGAGCCTGCAGCCCAGCCCATCTCCAACTTGCCGACATAATCCACAGCTCCAGACAAATGGAGGACGACATCTCACTCAGAACTCCAGAGCCAGTTTGGAGAGACGGCCAAACTGCGGATATGCCCGTCGCAATCTGGACACCGGGCCGCGAACCAGAGCCTTTGTCCCTGGTGCCAGCGCCATTACAAAGGCGCACAGCTTTGAAAAAAACTTCGCCATGCCATGCCTCAATGCATCTTGTCAAAAACTGAGGTGGCCTAGCCAATGATTCTAATTTCAAGCTTCGGTCCCGTGCAGGGGGCCAAACTAGGAGAAACTCGTCTGGGCCGCTGTGTGCCCAGATTGCTCGGACGGTTAGGTCCAATCAAAATCATCTCATGTCGGAGTCACGGCCCTGTGCAAGCCGCCGTGTTCTTCAGGCCTCTTGCGTGGAAGCAAAGCAACAGCCTGCTTTGAACTCCCAACAACTAGCAAGTCGCCAGCCTCCTCACATCAGCAGGGCGGCTGGAGTTGCGGCCACCAAACGCTGCCAGAGTGCACTGCGCAGGGAGCAAGGTCGTGGTTTATGACGAGTGCGCGAAGTCGGGGCGGTGTAAGTTCTTGAAGCTCAGGCTCGAAAGATCTGGGCTGGCCCCCGATTGCACTCATAGGTGGCCTTTTAAGGAGCAATCGAGTTCAGGGACAAAGTCTCAACGGCCCGGGCAACACTGTTTGATCGCGATATGTGATTGGAAAATCTGCCATGAGACCAGCCTGAAAGCTATCGAGGCAGACACGTCCTGATGATGCCTTGGATGGGTGCAAAACATGCACAATAGAACACAGGACGTCGGGTGCAAACTGCAAGAGTGAACTCAGCAATGCATTTATCAAGAGAACAGCTTGGCCGCATCTTCTATTTTGCTGCTCCGGTACACACCGTGCTTCTGGCAAACATCGCGGGTGATGTGGCGGATGGTGTCATAGCAATGGTGACCTGACCCATAGCTGCACGGCGGTGAACCTGGGACAGCCTTCCTTATGCAAGCACCTCAGAGCAAAACTCACTGCATGTGGTGTGCAGCTGTGTCTCCGTCGTGCGTGCGTGCGTGCGCGGGTGGGTGGGTAAGTGGGTGGGTGGGTGGCTGGCTGGCTAGGTGGCTGGCTGGGTGGCTGGGTGGGTGGCTGGGTGGCTGGGTGGCTGGGTGGCTGGGTGGGCGGGGCGTGTGGGTGCTGCACCGCTTAAGATACCCTGCATTCTCAGACTAACTGCAGCGGAGAGAGCGCACACCTCTGACACATTCTGACAGGAAGGTACTCGATATTTAGCATCACCACCTCCATTTAGTGGGAGAAACTGCGCGCTCTAGCGATGCATTGCACTGCTTGTGATCACTTCCTACTCGTGTCATCAGAGCCTGACTGCTTCCGCGCCTTGCGCGAGCAAGTGAATGTGAAGCTTCGCCAAATCAAGAGGTGGCTTCTAAATTTCTGCATGTGCAAACATTCCCGCGCACGGATGAAATGAGTCATGGTTTGGAGCCCACTGCTACCGGACGCTTGTACACGCGGCTGGGGCTTGCCTTCGGGTCTAGTCTAACCATCCCGTTCGATGTTGTCTGGTCATTTCAGGGTTCGGACAAGAGCAGGAGTGCATCTCAATCATGCCGGACACTGAAACGAGTCTGCAGGCTCGTAAACAGCAGTTCTTGCAAAACAAACAAACTCTCGATCAAGAAACAAGATCACGACGCATGAATCTGAATAGCACTTGTAGTGCGAGACATCAAACAGCCGCTAGTCGGACAAGGAGCCGATGCCCGGGAACAGGTGGTGTTCGATCTGGGTGGTCAGTCCGAATGCCATGTGGAACCTGAACAGCGCTACTTAGCACTTGCAGGGCTGCATCGGTGTAAGGAAACCGCTCCAAAGCACTGAAGGAAGCCACTGTTAGCAACAGGAACACATCATGCAGGATCAACCTAATATGCAGCTGGCCACCAGAAGTCCGACTCGGATGCAAAGTCGACACTCTCTGCGATCTGCATCTTAGCCCACGAGTCATACCTGCGCTAAACGAGCTTATGAAGAGCTTTGTGACTCTTGTGCGATGCTGGTTCTCTATGTTGGGACCCCAGGCGGATGGCCAACTCACTCAACCATGCTCTCGTGTAGCAGCATGCATTCGCCCAATACTTGTACTACATATGGACCGTCCACGAGCCAAGCGAATTCTAGAGTACTTGTCCAGTTCTTTTCTGCCAGACAGTCACAGTGCACCAAATGTTGTGCAGCAGAAGACGACCGAGCTAAAATCTGAGATGTGCCCCGATTTTCCTACAGCGGCTGTCAGAGCACTTGTTGGAGTTCGGGTAGAGGATCACGTGGGCGACCTGGGAACAAGGAACGAAGATGGCCCCCGCGGTGAGGTACATGCACCTTGGCACCGTCAGTCAGCTCTTTTCCTGCCGTTAGGATAAACATGTGTGCGAAAAACTGCAGTAGTTTCTCAGCATGAGGGTGCAGGGTCTGGCTGTGTCATCTTGACTTCGGCTTCAGCTCCAACCCCCCCCCTTGCTGCTAGCGCCCATGTCGCGACCAAAGCACAAGTAGCACAGGATGGAGGGACCTTAGCTTGCTGTCTTACAAAGGATGAAGCTTGTCCAGCGAAGCTTGTCCAGCACGTCGCATGCCAGACAGCTCGCTAGACACCGGATCCTTTTCCACGCCTAACCTATGACCTGTGATCGCACTCGTTGACAGGCGCAGTCCTCGAAAAAGACCACCATCTGATTTGTGCATGGCATAACTTGCAGCAAGTGCTTGTGGAGCTGAGGTGCCGAAGGTGTAGTGCAAGATGCACCACAACGGGATCTCGAAAAGAATTCCACCCAAGCCTGGATGTTCGCAACATTGACCCCGCTCCCCCGGCATGTCGTCTCAAACTAAACTGTGCCGATCGCATCGCGCAAAACTGCAACGTTGCGCTACACCGCTCCCCTTGCAAACAGATGCCTTCGACACGAGCCAAGCTGGGAACCTCTCTTGTTTTCCGGTCTTGGGCTTGTGCTACCGAGACGACCAGTCCAACGTGAGAGGGGCAGGTGTAACCCTATGGTTGGCATGGTACCCCATAACACTTGCATGCACCTGTCCACCCCAAGCCACGTAAATGCGGAACGGGCGTAAGGGAAAGTACGTGTACATTGTGCATGCATATGTGTGCGCGTGAAAACGTGTGTATACGTACATGTATGCATGTATGCATATCTGAATCTTTATAGGTTTCGGGGTCGTTCAC